CCGGGCGCTTGCAGCGACAACCGCTGCGGACAAGGTGTCGATAACTGGACTGCAGCACCACACTGCTGCACTGGACCTCTGGACGCCAAACCACGGGAACCGCTGAACGCCAGCGATCCGGAATACTGAAGACACGGGACGGTAACGTTGAACACTAGGGGATACACGACGATACGCGGAGGACGCACCCGACGATAGCGTTGAGACGAAACATATACACTGAATATTACAACAAATTCACGAGCTTAAATACTTATCACAAAGGGCGGGACAGATCACGGGTCAAACTGCTGCACGCTTCTGGATTGCTCCTTGCTTCTCCTGCGCGCCATTTGCTCGCTCTACATTTTACCTAAGCATTATTTTAATAAGCAGGGGAGCCAACTACTGCAGACTGGCTTTTATTAGGCAATTTCCACTCATAATTTCTTCTTTTGCTAAATTTTTTGTTTTTTGATTCTGCTTTCTCAGTTTTTATTTGCTTTTCCTTCCTTTAGACTTTATTTATAGTTTCCGACTCTTTGATTTCGCTTTTTTCGCTTTTTTTTTTTCTTCAAAGTTCAGGTTTTTGTTTCATGCAGTTTCTTTTGTACCGCTGTGTTGTCCCTTCCTCTTAATGGGTGCCCGTATGCGGCTCTAGGGGCAGAAATTGAGGACGAAATAGAGAACGGGAACAAAACTACTAGTGAGGAGTTCGACAGAACTGGTGACAGCAGCAAAAAAAAAAAAACAGACAACACAGCACTACAAAAAATGTTAACTAAAACAAACCTAAGCTTATGTGAAAAAGCGAGAAAAAAGCAAAAAAAACTCGAGTACGCACCGGCTACCGGTGCGAAGATGCGTTTTTTGCACTGTTCCCCCGCAGATTTTTGTCGCTAATGACACTTTTTTTCCGCCAGATGCTTTTAGTTAAGAGAATTGCAAGTAGCCACCACGACTGTTAGAAATTATTACAATGACTTCCAATCCACGCCCAGAAAATCTACCACTCTAGATGCTTCGGTTGCAGAGTTACGTCAAACCTAACGTGTTCGTACGTGAGTAGCAAGTGAATGCTCTCTTCGCGTGCCATTAATCAAACACGATTCTGGGCAGCGCTCAGAAAGTTTCAGCCATCCAGCTGTTTTGGTTAAGGCATGCCAAATTTCACGTGTGTGTACGTGAGATGTGAAAGTGATGTGTAAGTCGTTTTTGCGTCCATTTGGCCAAAGGCCAATGTCGGTTATGCTAAGAAAGTTTCAGCCCTCTAGCTGCTTCAATTGTGAAGTTACAAAAGCGCAAGCATGAAATTTTCACGAGTTCGTAAGTAAGATGCAGGAAGGCTGAAGAACTCAATTTAATTTCACGGACAAAACAATGGGCAAAAAGCAACACTGCAAAATTGCAGCTCTCTGCAACTTTTTGGTCAGCTTAAGTCCGGAGTTGGCATGATGCCAGTTTGGACTTTGACTTGAGACCTAGGGGTATGTGAAGGCTGAATTTCAAATTTTTGGATTAGATGCGGTCAAGGAACATTTCTGTGAATTCCCAGCCTCCTAACACGGGTCGTTCCCAAAAACGCTTTCCCGCCAAAAAAAAATTTCACGTGCCCCTACACGAGGACCACGCTGAATTGAGCGCCCATTTTGAGGAAAGGAGCATATAGATTAAATTACGCACGTACGAATAGATTAAGTTACCAAAGTTT